GGTCCAGCATCAGCTCCATGCTGGCGGCGACTGCACAGGCACCTCGGGGTGGGCTGCGCTACCTTGCTGTCTGCCCCGAGGTGTGTGCGGTCGCCACCAGCATGGAGCTGATGCCAGAGTTGTGGAGCCCGGCACAGCTGTTTGCAGCCTACTCACTGCAACTGCCCAGAGCACAGGCTGGCTACAAACAGCTGCGTCAGGCTCCAGAGCCCAGTCATCGTCTCTGTGCCAGAAGTGGGGGAGATACCGGAGTTGCGCTGCCTCAGACCTTTCCCCTACCACCCGCTTCGACGTGCGGGTGCATGCGCCGATATGGAGGTGATGCCAGGGCTCCAGACTGCAACCGGCCCCAGCTCTGGGTAACTGCTGCCAGCCACAGAGCCCGGGCTGCTTCCAGCAGGCAGCTGGGACGCTGAAAACTCTGCTGGGAGCAGACTGGGCTCCAGCAGCTACCCAGAGCCAGGGCTGGCCATGGCGTGCCGAGCTCGGCAGGCGTGCCGGTGGTTGCCGACCCCTGGTCTAAGGACATAGGCAGGGAAGGTTCCTTGGGTAGATGTGATATCTTGCATTAGACCAACTAAATAGCTGGAAAAATGTTCCTTGCAAGCTTTCTGGCACAAACACCCTTCATCAGCCACAGGAAGAATTAATCCTCAAAGGGAGTTTACAAAACACCTTTCATAGATGAGCCTACGAACTTCACTTTATAAATTTACTGGATACAAAAAATCATGGACTAATATAGACATTGGATTTATGGTACATTACAACCTGTCTGACATCCAATGCCCCAGATAACCTGCTTCTAGCTAGCCACTTGCATTCCTTCACACATTTCCCACCCTTTCCCCCTCCCTCCTATCTCTACCCATTGTCTTCCAAACTTCCACTCATTTGCATTTTCACAGACCTGCTTGTTGTAAATTAGCCTCTTTTCTACCTTGGAGAACACATAACACTAGCAATCTCCCATGCCTGACAAGGGTGTTTGTGCCCAAAAGCTTACAAAGAACTTGTTTCCAACTATCTAGTTGGTCTAATAAAAGAAATCACATCTATTCAAAAAACCTTGCCTGCCTATGGGGGTTATCAGATACTCAAAAGGGGTTATCTTGTATTAGGTGAGCTTCAAAATTTTCATATCTGAAATCTCTGGAAACCCCATTATTATGACACCCAGCATCTACAGTATAACTTAATCATGCAGCATTTATGCTTTACACTCACTTTACAAAACTGGCCCTAGCTTCCACGGAGAGGCTGTTAGTCACATCAAATACTGAAGTAAGTGTACTAATGGTGCCATCTAAAGGTACTTGAGTGTAGCACACAGCTCCTTGGGCAAAATGCATGTGTGTGCAGGTAAGGAAACTTTGACTAATGCCAAACTATTCACTTTTAAACAGCACTAGGAGTTTGTCCTTCAGATAGTAACAAAATTATCTGCTCTTCTGTTATGTTTTACCTATTATTTTTTATTCGTTTAAATTTGTTCTTTTCAATGTTCCACAACTCCTACTGTATTTTTCCATGCGTATTAAAATGGGAGTCCTTCATAAACCAAAGCTCTGTTCTCCTTCTGTATGAAGACATTGTATGATTTTTATTGATGCTTGCTAGGCACAGCAATGGAAATGACACCAGGTGTTTGATTCTGAAAGGGACATAACCATATTTCATTGCCATATAATGGTATATGATTCTGGATGACAGAAAACATACATTTTAATGTGAAATTTAAATAGGAACAGAGGGAAATGGTTCTTTTTCTATCTAGAGCAATTGGGCATTCTATTATAGCTACAATTTATGTGGTTCATACTTCACAAAAGCAAATGCCTGTCTGATATGTGAAAACACACTATTCCCGCTCTCACTGCAGGCTTTTCAAAAGGCTGGATTAGTGCCTCCTGTGGGGTGTCGTGTGCATTTGAGCTGCTCAGCACTTTGTAGATGTTCAGCGGTAGGTCCTAATTTAGCTCTTCTTTCAGAACAGGTATCCGTAAAAATGTCACACAGATGCCTGTATGCAAGACTTTGAAGGACTGCATGGTGATCTCTATCAATATTACTGGAAAATTAACTGTTAAAATAAAAGGACCCTTTGGAAAACTCCCACAGAAAAGTAATGGAATTGTAAAAATTACAGATAAATAAATCCAGTAGCTGAAAGCATTTACAGAAATATATTCAAATTGATAGATAGTTGATCATGTGATTTTACTTACTAATGCCTGTATAGCTGTATACCTGTCTATACAGCTACCTTAAAAGACCCCTTCCCACAAATTGGCTATTAATTGCCCGCAAGAGTCAAGAGAGCAGGTCCTAACTTGGTTTCAAACGTCTGTGCCTCTTCTTCACTAATCCAAGCTAAACAGAGAAGAGACACATACTGACTTGAAAAGTAACATGCTAATGTACTTATTTGTCTGCCTTCCTGGCTGTCTCTCTGCTACAAAATTATCTCTCCCATTTTTCATTCATCTTGCTGCATCAGTATTTCCAAGTCAAGCATACAGTTAAACATGAAAATTCTCTCCAGTCACAGAAGTTGTATTTTCACAGCAGCTAGTAGAGTCGTCTGTGACTGGTATGTCTAGTTGATATGGAATACAAATACATAATAAAGATGCAATCAGATAGGACTTCTTGGATCAAACACTGAGGGAAAAAGCGTAGTCAGAACTGCATGTGGGCCAGCCAAAAGAAAATACAGTGAGGGCCAAATAACTGAAGTTGATCAGTTTGCAGAAAGCCTTTCTTCATTACACAGCAAGCAGGTACATTGATAGGTAAGCCAGCAGTGATCATATCCAAGATACCTCAATGACGTGTCAAACAAACATCTAGAGTGATCGACATTTGGAAAGGGCCCCTGTAATGATGCGGCTATACCTCCAGCAATTGACTCGAAATAAGCAAATGTACTACAGGCTTCAAACTGAGTTTCTTGCCAAAAAAAAAAAAAATCCAAGCTATCTAACTGAGGAATAATCCTGCAGTGCTAACCTAGCTCACTTGGAGTTGGAGGCTCTCTGTGTTTTGAACAAGAAATTCAGCAGCTTGCGCAGGGGCGGGCAAAGTATGGCGCACGGGCCGGATTCGATCCACCAGCTGATTGTTTCTGGCCCACAAGAGGGAGAGGTAAGGGGGGGCATAAGTTAACCTTCCCTTGCTGATCAGATCTGGCCAGTCCTAGCCAGCATGCACAGCTTTGAACAGGGCTGTTCCCAGTGCGAATGCTGCTCAGTATCCTCACCTCCAATGGCAGCTTCTGCTCCTGCTTTGCCACTCTGGGCTGGGAGGAAGGTTCAGCCGGGCGGCTCCTGCCCCAGCGTGAGGGGCTCTGGCTGTAGTTCCCAGATGCTTTCCACACACTCTGCACACCCAGCATGGGCGGCCAAGAGGGTGAAAGATAGCCAGGAGCTTCAGTTGGGCAGTTCCTGCCCCAGCGCACAGGGTCCTGCTCCAGCTCCTGGCTGCTTTCCACCCACTTGGCCAGTGGAGTGGGCGGAAGGCAGCTTGGACCTGGAGTTAGAGTCCCATGTGCTGGGACAGGAGCTGACTGGCTGAAGCTTCCTCCCCTCCTGGAGTGGCACAGCAAGAGCAGGAGGAGCAGCCGCTGCTGGAGGCACAGAGAGCCCTGTTGGAAGCTGTGCACACTGGCTGGGGACAGCCTCACCAGAAGCTGTGCCCTCCACTGCCTGGGTGAGCTCTGATACCTGTACCCCCTGCCTCCTCCTCCTTCCCCTCACCCCCAACTGGCTCCCTGGACCTAGCACCCAGGCGGCATGTGCACATGCCCCCCCAACACCCCATACACCCCTCCCCACACAGGGCAGGGGCTGTCCCACAAGCCCACCCCATGATCCTGACCTCTCCTGCCCATCTCACTCCTGAACACCACTCGCTGCCTAGAGCACCATCCCACATAGGGAATTTTGGTGAGTTGCGGTGGGGCGGAAAGAGGGGATGCTGACTTGGCCCATTACAACTCATCAAAATTCCCTAAGTGGCTTCCAGGCCCAAATTGCCCACTCCTGAGCTAGAAGAATAGGGACCATTAAGTTTTTATAGCACTCACTAAAATGAAGCTGTGGTCTGGGGAACAAGGGGAGATTACCTTCCTCAATTTTAACTGGCCTTGGGGTAAGGCTACAGCCCAAAATAATAGGGGCTACTGCTGCACTGTATGCTGTGGTTTAATTCAGCTGAGCAAACAGGGCACTCTCTTCTAGTAATACAGATGGAATGTGAGAAACATCCAAAATCTATTACTTACATAAAATGCAAAATGGTTTGTATAGCCAATCAAACATTTTCACTTAAAACAACACATAAGGCAGAGTTTAATAAAGGAAATACAGGCAAGTATATATACTGGTGATGACTTAGCTTTCACACACACAATTTATATCCATGATCTGTGTAGTAGAAAATATGTTTTTTAAAATAACTAAATACAATTGCCAGGTATAGACATTACACTTTCGTCATATAAATGATTGGAAACTGATCTATATCTATAACAGATATATCTGTGTCTATATCTAACACAGTAGCTAGTCAATTGGCCTGATTTTCAGACTCTGGCATTCACTTCTGTAAGTACAATTCTGTCTAATTTTTTTTTGTTTGTTTGTTTGTTTGTTTGTTTTTTTACACATGGAAAATTCTATCACCCATCTGTGCAATATTCAACAGCTCTGTAAGCAGAGTTATACTGAAAAAAGACAGATAAGTTGATTGCAAAATTGTGCACCCATCAGTGATAGAAACCCCCACTTAAAGATCATGTCTGTTGTGCTCATTTTATAATATAGATCTAAAACTCTATTGGGTTCAAGTCCTTTTCTTTATAAATTAACATGCAGTAAGAAAACTGGAGCATAGTGTACTCGGGGAGTAAGGTTAATACAACAAATCATAATCTACAGTTATAGTCCCTTCTTTCCAGGATCACAATATGGACTACAGGGTGTATAATGTGCACTGACCTGTACTTTCCTGTCCGTACTTGTAGAGCTCTCATGCCGCACTGCTGGGCACCTCCTACATCATTCACAATATCATCTCCAATCATGATGGCCTGTCACGGCAATGAAATACAGAAAACTAGTGTCAAGTGTATTTTATTTCTGCCATACTTCATCTTCCTTGACATAATAAACTGCTTGATTTGATGTTTAATACTGCCATCAGACAAATTAAACAAGATAATATTGTCATTTTATTGATTAAAAGTCACCCTCTACCTTGAATATAATTCATCCCACACCTCTGTGAACTATACAGCTGTGCTGTATACATCTACACAATTTGAAATCAATCAATACACTCAAAACTATTTGGTACAATACAAAAAATTCTGAAATTCGTGAGGTTAGTCCTACAATCTAAACAGCCATTCTTCCATGGCTGATGGCAGTTAATATTCAATTTAAAACATTTCATTAAAATTTACACATTAAAGGCTGATCAAAATGTTTGCAAGTTTGTTCCAAAGATCAATGAAAATATAACTTAGTACAGTTTATGCACCGATCATACTAAAAGCAATATGGAAATTTGTGAAGCCATGCATCTCAAGATACTTCAGTGCTATTTATTTTTGCATAACATTACATTTCCCATACATGTGTAGCCATGTTTGTTATAATCAGTTACAATTTAGGCAAACAAAATATAAGAGCAAACAAAATAGAGCATGGAGGTCACAAGGGAAAATTTAACTGAGAAGTCTTCAATGGCAGAGTTTTCCAACCATCGGGCCGCAGCCCAATACCGGGCTGCAACGGCTTGGCTGCCAGGTTCAGCTTAAAGCTGGGTGGTGGGGCAGCCCCAAGAGGGAGGCAGCCAGCTCCATGCACCCCAGCTCGCTCCCACCCTCATGGCCATGTCTGGCAAGGTGCTGCCCATGCAGCAGGTCCCGGGGCCCATGCTGGGCCGGGCAGGACCCCCCAGCCCTGCCTGCAGCAGAGAGCCAGGGGATGCAGGCAGGGAAATGCCCAGGGCAGTGGGCAGGGACATGGCTCCCCTGCTTCCTCCTAGGGAAGGCAGTGGAGCCCCTTCTTCCTGGGCAGCCCCAGATGGGTCTCCCCAGGCCACCGCCTGTGCAGCTCCCTCCCCTGCAGGGTCCCACGGTGTCTGTGGCTGTGGTGCCCCAACCCGATCCGATCCTCACAACACCCACCCCCAAGTGTAAAAATTAAATTTAATTATATCAATTAGATTGCTTCTATACCTGATCCACCAAAATTCTTTGAGGGTGTTTGCCAGACCCTAGTATAAAAAAAGTTGGGAACCACTGTTCTACAGCCTGTTGATGGGATTTTGTCCAAGGTAATGTAGCTTTATACTATGAATGCTCAATTAACAATCAGTTTCCTCAACAAAGACCATCAATAAGAAATATTAAGGACTTTACTATCAATCCGAAGAAAAAAATATTAGATTTTTTTTTATCCTCAAATTTATAAAACAGCTGACGGCTTTGCTCTCAAACTTTCAAAAAAAGAAAAACTCTGATCAGTTAAATAAAAGTTTGGTTTCAACTTCTCATTCGCCATCCAAAATTTTCAGTGTATTCTAAAGTACCCTCATGATAAATGAAGACAGTTTTCTTTACACGAGGATGTCTAGACTTGGAAAATAAGTTGTTTGAATATATGTTAATTAACATGTTTTAGCTACTGGTTTTTAAATACAACTTTGCAACTAGTATAGACAAGGTGAATAGTGCTTAAAAACATACTACCCAGTTGCACAACTACAGTTACCTTAGCTGCAACTATGCTATGTTAGTTGCTTGCCTTGCAACTACCAGACTTCCAAAATGGCATATACTTCACAACTCTCTCCTATCATCAAGGGCCTTGTCACACATTATATTTAAAACATGTCAGCTGCACTTAAACCAACATATGCATATGCAAGCAGTAAAACACACGCTAAATGCCACTGTATTATAGCAAAGTTAGTACTTTCCAAAGGACGTTTATCTTCAGATGGTATTAAGTAATACATGTTCATCTATATTAGGAATGCTCTACAGAAATAATATGAGCGATCCTCGCAGCACTGGTGCAGTGCCAGGGCTGGGACCAACAACCAGCTGTTTGTTCCCTGCACAGCCAGCTCCAGCCCTGTCCAGACCATAGTAAGCATTACCATGTGACTGCTCAGAACACACTCTAGCTTGCAGAAATGCTTACTATGATCTAAATAAAATATGTGCCAAGTGTCTTATGTGACAATGTGACAGGGCCCTAAAAGCAGCCCTCATATTTAGCTAAAATGTACCTGTCTTGCACATAATTGCTATTTCAGTAATTTTAACATCACAAATGTAGAGATGTCACATTGGGCTGATTTTTATACTATACAAACTGGTTTCACGTCTTAAGCTCTTTGTCCTACTCTTTTTCTTGTGTCCCTCACTATGAATCTGTATCCCATATGTGGGTCTTTGTAGGTTAAAAGGCATGTTTAAAAATGGACCAGGATTGTCTTAGCTGGCAACTGTGTTACTAAGAAGAGCATCAAGGGGACTACACTGAGCATGTACAGAAGGCAACTTAGCATTTTTCCAGCTGTGGTGAGCTGATAAATAGGCCCTTCTCAGAGAGGTCATGAGAATAAGTCACTAAGCCTAGAAATGGGGCTTGGCTTCTCTAGTAACTGTGTTCTAAGGAGAATTCTGACTTTTTTATGGCTGGCTATAACTTTATGAAAACAACATATAGAATCTCTGTATTTTAGGCAAGATTTTTAACTATTATTAAAACCGCTGCCTTGTTTCTCTTTTCCTTGAAACATATTTTTTAAATATACCACATAACTAGACAGCAATACTGGCATTAAGAGTACCTAATAACAAGGGCCAAAAGGTTCTCAGCTCTACCCAGCCATGCCATTATCTCTGCTTGTTCATAAAGGGCAGAAATGGAGAGTCACAAATCAATGCTGTGGAATATCTGGTTGTCTTGGCAGGTTGAGTACAATGCTGGAAAGGGTAAGACCCATTTCATAGATTCAAAGAGTTCAAGGATAGAAGAGAGAACACAATTTGCCCCTGGGTCTTCAGACCTTACAGATACTAAAAAGCAAGGAACTATTTTATAGTGTATAGCTAAAAAGGACTATTAGACCAACTAGTCTGATCTTCCATACATCACAAGCCATTACATTTTACCCATTTATTGGGCCCATCAAATTGTGTTTGGATAAACTATAACTTCTATTGGCTAACAGAGGCATCCAGTTAGAGTTTGAGGACAGTAAGAGAGAGATTATCTAATATCTCTCTCAGCAGTGTTTCCTAATTACCCTCACTGTTAAAAAGTACCTAATTTCTCATTTGAATTTCTCTGTCCTCGTTTGACGTCTGCGAGGGTTCTTATTATGCTTTTGCCCCCTAAATTAAAGACTCTTAATACCCAAAGTTTTTCCCAAACCTGGAACTAATACATTGTAATCAAGTGTACAATGCTGTGTAATCTTTTCAAAAAGTACTACTGTACAGTTGTTTCTCCGTGGTTCTCTCAGCATAAAGCATTTTCTCTAGCCTTAACATCAGGTCATCAGGTTTCTTTCCACATCCCCAGCATTTTCACATCCTTTTAAGATGCTGATGCTAGAACTGTGTTTAGTATCCCAGCACCAGTTTCACCAATGCTGTACAGAGGCAGAAATCACTTCTAAGTGAAAGCAGCTTATTTTGATGTAGAACATAGTCATATCACACCTTGCTTTAATGAACTATGGTATCGTCTTGTGTTGAAACATCACTGAAAATACTTTATCCTGACTGCATTATCAGTCGCATGACCATATGTTGCTAAGTTCTTTGCCTACAAGATTTGGATCCTTTGAATGGCTTGTGCAATATGGGACAGGACTCGCTTGTGAAATTCAGATTTCATTACCACTTCGTCTTCAGGGCAGGAGTGATACTTCTCTAACCTTAACTAACCGTACTGTGCTAAGGGACAGGGCTACAGCTTCCTCCAGGTCTTCTACAACAGTAGACCTCACCTAGTGTACACACTTCAATACCAAGGACTAAGCCAAGGGTTGTTCTGTCACCCCTTCATTGATACTTAAATCTGCCTTTTAAGATGCTGTTGATTCAGATGGAAAACAGAGCCCAAGTCCTCAGTAAGCAAGTGTCTGCTGAATCCTATATTGTGGCCAAGCTGTATGCCCACAGGACACTGGTAAAATCATAAAGGGCAAGCTGGCGACACCCCTTTAACAGCAAGTTGCAGTTTGAGCCTCCATGCTTTCTCCTCACCGGTAGTGAGGTATCAAGGAAGGGCATCAGGACGAAGGAAGTGGCTACCTTATGGTGGGAAGGGGAATATCCTTCTGGAGTGTCACCAGGGAAAATGCCAGGCAGTCAAATAGCTCCATCCAACTGGCTAACAGCTCTGCCATATACATACAGAGCTACACATGTAGTCGAGAAAAGGGGCAAGGACAGAGCCCTAGTTTCTCCTGCAATCATCTCTCAGCCATGGGCATGGGCTTCAGGGGCCTTTAATTTAGCCCCTTCATTAAACTCTTCTCTTCTCACAAATAGTCCTGCTCCCCAGGACTATTTGTGCCTAAGGTCAATCCTTGGCTCCTGCCAGGCGAAGAGAAAGGAGGGAGGATCCAGTTAATGGAGGTAGATAACGAGATCGAGCTCCCATCCTCTCGTGTATGTCAGCAGGATTCTTCTGCTCTGGCCTGAGTACCTGTAGGATATGGAAGGACCTCCCTTCCTCCAGGGCAGCTGACTGTGCAGCCTGAATTTTTGGTCCCATTAGAGAACATGAGTCCAGAAGGCAACACAATCTCTCTCTAGTTCTTGCAGGCCTGAAAGCGTTTGAAAAAGAGAAGCCACCATGTTGGCTTACTGAGAAATCCAAGTGTTAGCTGAGAAATGTGCTCACCAGCAGTGTATTATATTCTGTATAGACAAGTTTTCGTGCAAGAAGACAGTCAGCTCTGAAACTGCAGCTGCGCATGAGCAGTGATGCCTATCCAGGCCAGCTTGTGGCATACGCATACAAAAATGTACTCCAGCCCTTGGGGATTTCACAG